GGTCTTGGCAGTCTCGAAATCAAATTATAAAGCTTTGTAGGAGACGCCGCTTGGCTGGAGCACGCCCCTCCTATTGTGGGAAAACCTCCGCACACTTGAAGCGTGCTGGAAACACATTGGGATTGCTATTTTTTTGCTTTGAAGAAAATCTTAGTTTGTGAGCACCATTAAAAGAATGGTCTATCGCTGGTGCGCTACCCTGTCGACCTACCAAAGGGTTGCACATCTTTCCCTTTTTACGGGTCTCAGGCCTGTTCGGAAACCGAGTTGAAATTTGCCGTCGGCTGTATATTTGTCGCCTTTCACCACTAATGTTTTGCGTGCTTGTTGGAATAAGCACGCAAAACATTAGTGGTGAAAGGGCGATTTAAAGCGAACGGAACACTCTAAGTTAAGTTTATCTCACTGCATCGGTAGTCTACCGTACAATCCTGTTCTGCAAGCTCTTTTCCCGGAACTACACCGCTGCACGTATCAGTGTGGGCCCCGTCCCGGAAATCTGATAGAATAAAATCAAAGCATACGACAAATAGCTAATACTCCGTTGAGAATTCCTTGAACTAGGGCTTTGCTGTTAGTGACTCTTTCTTCTCCGTTGAGCTCGTGGAGGATCCTTTTTGAAAATTTTTCAAGTCAGTATCCCGGACAAAGTTCAGCTTTTATGCATAATGTTCCTTTGGAGCGTTGGATCTAGCTCATCCGTTATCTTATAGTTTATTGCGTTCAAACTTAATACTCATCATACGTTGACATCCATTCTGATTCAAGTCGCCCTTGAAGTCTGAAGTAAAATGTCTCATATGATAGGCTCTCATTTTTAGGATGGCTCTACCGAAATCCTGGCGAGGGTTGAGAGATGCAGAACTCTCAGATGTCAGTGGGATTCCCGGATGTATCTTCGTCCACACCACTGGTGAGTTTCTAAGCACTTCATTCAGCTTAGATTTGGTGGTGGGAGGCGTCACTTTTCGGTCTATTTTTGTCGTTTTTTTTGTCAGTATACTAGAATATCATGATTATGTTTCCATATGTGACTTGATGATTCTTCTCTCATTCAGGGTTCATTGGAGGCAATGAAACGCTGGAAGGTGCTCTTTCTATGGCAAGAAAAGCTCTTGAGATCGGAGATGCTGAGGTGGGACACTTTTCACTGCTTTTCACTTTCCAATTTTCCATCTCGAATTCACCAATGCTACGGTTGACCCTGGCCTGACTAAATACGTTGTCAGTCGCGCTTTTGGAGGATTAATACGTCATAAAATCTCCTTAGGCGCCATCGCAACATGACGGGCATTGTGGTGGTAAGTCATTTAGAATCGCGTAAAACATCACTTTTTCGTTGATGTAGGTTAATCATTGGAGGAAAGACTTCCAATGCACGAGCAGTTCTCATTCCCCCGAAAGTTCTTGTCCCTTCCCAGGCCCAGTCCTAGGGGATGCTCTTATGTCTTGCGATGGCGCCTCTCCTTATTTTACTAAAGTCAGCTCAAATTGGGTTATTGTCGAGTTTTTATTCCTCCTGTCGTTTAATAGTACACGATCATACGAGCATAGGGGACTCTTCGCGCGCTGCTCTTCGTTCCCCTCGGAAACTGCTGCCATGTGAAATAAAGCGCGTAGGCACAGTCCTTATGTTGTTGTGAATGTCTGAATATATTCTTATCAGAATCAAATGCATCAAAAAAGTTCTTATTTATTCTCGATGAGCAAGATTTTACAGCGTGCCGAAGAAATACTTGCTGAGATGGAGTTGAAGAAGCCCAGTCTTGAGTCATCTATGGATCAGAGTTCAGAAACAGTGCCGCAAGCTTAGCAAGCGGAGAGCTGAAAGAAGAATGGAACTTGTGGTGCATCACCCTCTTGACAGTTGTGAGTACTGTAACTCGTTCGTACTACGGGCAAACGACCTCGAGAAACTATACTATCACCTCTTTTGTACCATTTTAATTTTTTTTTAAATTTCTGCATGAGCCATACTTATGGTACTTATTTCTCAATACGGCGCAGTAACCTCTCTATGCAGTTTTTCTGTGCACCACTTTTTGTAGCCGTGATTAGGGCCGGGGTGTGCCGTTTCCATTTGCGAAGTTATTGTGTTCGAGTAGTTATTGATAATCTTGGTTTGGTGTAGGTGACAGATATCTGCAACAGTTTTCTCAGTGCCACCTCACAGCTCCTGCCTAACGCCTTTCTTTTTCGAAAAAAAAATCAGGTTTCCGGTGTTTGCAACAGAAACTCGCAAGTTACTCTGATCATCTCCTTTTTTCCCTCCTATAAAATCGTTTCCTATTACACAGACTCATTCAAAATAATAGAAATATTGTTTTCTGCACTTCATATTCACTTTGATAGAAGACGCCAATGGAATTTTCAATACATTGGCCCTCGTTATTGTTACACCAGATAATGTATCGAAAGTTACGGTCACACCCTCTTCACGTTGTCTACAGTTGTTCAAAGAGCCTTTTTTCTTAACAATAGATTTCCATTTCCCCACGCACTACCGGCTGCTGTTCTCTATGTGACATCTTCTTTTATGTTGATTTGATTTGTTTTGTTTTGCTATGTTTGTGTAATGAAGGATTGTTAATTGATCACGGTAATGTTTTTAGTGGAGTTCCATGATGTACTTTGTTCATACTAGAACACTCGATAGTTTTATGGCAGTGGCTGCTCAATGGTGGTATGATGTGATTCTTTTGTACATCCACAACGAGGGGTCGGAGAGAATAAAGGTGATGAAACGAGGCCAAGGATAAACGAGGTTTCGTTCCGTTCTCGTTTTATTAGCCGTCGATAACCTGATCAGCGAACGCTTTGTGCTGAGGATTTCTTGATTCGGTTAGGGGAAGGTTCGTATTTGATTATCTAGGATGGATGACACTGGGTGCAAAATTTGCTCAACGACATGGTGAGTATTTTATTACATTTTCTATTTCCGAGAGAAACTCTGAATAAACCCGTTGATCTAATTAGGGAAAACTGGTTTTTCGTTTTGCATGCCATTATTCTCTCCTGGTCCGTTTAATTATCCGACGATTTCGAAGGAATTTTGTCTTTTCTATCCTTGAGTTTAAAGCCGTAGTGGTTTCTAGTGAGATAGCCAATCAGCAGTTGTTTTTTGTTTCGAGTGATCAAGTCAGCAGTATTGAATCACCTTTGGTAGTCGAACAGAGCGAGTTGAATGGTAGATGGACAGACGCTTGCTACGCCGGCGAGGCTACCGGCCGCACTTTTCATCCAGAACATTTTCTCATGTTGAGAATAAGAATGCGCCAGATGTAATGTATTGGTGGTGGCTTCTCTATGCGCGAATTGAGCATTATCAGAGAGCTATGTGGCTGTCCATTATTCGTAATTCAGGTCTTGATTTTTATGATTCTGACAAGTAAAACGTTTTGTTCCACATACGAGTTTTCATTAAGCATGAGACATATATTAATCAGTGATTACATTTGTTACCGTGTTTGCCTTTTCTCAACGTCCTACATGTTAAGGTACGATGTGAATGCTATCATTCCTTTTCTCGTGTTAGTAACCCACACCCTGATTGAGCTGCGTTTATTTTCGCCGCGTAAGGTTCTATATAATTGCTATCGTCTTATACTCGTCTAAGATGTTCTTCATTCGCAGGGTCAGCTCGGCTCGCCCGCTTCTCAAGCGCGTATAGTGAATTCTGGCTTGAAAGTACCTCGCGTGAAGTAATTTGTTTTGGTGACGATAATGGATTGTTGGTCACTACAGTCGTATAAGTGTTCTTCAGTTGCCCCTAGCTCAAGGTAATCCGTGTCTTTCGCATCTGCTGCTTCCCGTGCCTCGGTTTCCGTTACTTAGATATCGGTGATGGTCAGCCCCGTTACTGTTTAGCCGATTTCAATGGAATTCGAGGACCCCCACCACCATCAGACTTGGGAGGTCCCCAATACCCCTCTACAACCCTACCACCACCCCCACCATCATCAATGTTTCTGAAGTATTTGAGTATTTGATTCCGGTACCAGTCGATACGCACCAATTCCACCAAATTCTTTTCCTTCAAAATGCGTACGGGTGGGGATGATTCTTCCCCGCAGTTTCCTTAAAATCTTCAAAAAAAAAGCCGTCAAACACCGGCTTCTTCTCCCGCTGCCACGATCCCATCGAGTTCTACGAATACGCCCTCCACCATCCTACGGTAAATGTGCAACGCAGGGTTGACCCTGCTAAAGTGTGGTGTCGTTCTATGGATGGGTTAGCTGTTCACCCTGTTGTTGATGTTCTGCCATTTGTGGGCGTTCTGTATGCGAGTTCGACTTTCCAAAACTGTTTGTCCAATTTAATTCTTATGGTTCTATGCCCAATTCTCTACAGCTCAAAAATTCTGCATTCTACCCTTATTTCTTCAAACCTACTGTGCTTGTGCTAGGCTGCTTCTATGTAGTGTCTTCGCGATTGCTTCACGGCTCGTTTCCCTCCACAGAATTGACTTTTATATGATTCTTCACGTGCGTTTAGCCTTCCGTTCTAGGAATCATGGATAGTCGGGTGGCGAAAGCTGGTACCGTTGCTCTGTCAGCAACCGTTGTAGCAGGAATTGGGGCGGCAGCAGTACTCATTTGGTCGAAACATTTTAACTCGATGCGCCGAGAACACGAGGAGTTGATGCGTTTAGTAGAGAAGCTTGTGTGAGTGCTTTCCATTTACTTTTTCCTCTTTCATTCCTATTAATAAGCGGCTCTGTGTAGATCTAATGTGCTGGTTAAGGATCGAAGTGGAAACGCTGAGAGTAGAGGTTGCTGAGCTGAAATATGGTAAGAAGAATTCAGGCGTACGTTCTCCGCCACGAGTTCGCCCAAGGCCTCGGACATTCCTCGAACGTAAGTTGTCTAAAAGGTCTAAATACCTTTCAAGTAGTTTTTGGTTGTAGTATGAGCCGCATGTGTACTTGAAATGTGATTTTGCAATTTTTAAGGTTTTTCTTTCATCAATAAGGTTGGCTCTTATTCTTTTCATGGTCTCTCTATCTTATACTTTTCTGTAGAAGACATACACAGTCTTGGCAATTGCAATTCGTAGTGAATTGCTAGTGAAGTATGGATTGATGAGAAGCGCCAGAAATTTAGTGGAATCTTAAATTCCACTGCAATTGCAAGCGAAGAGGAGACGGGAAAGTGTAATCGTCTTCGGAATCCTGTTATGCATCTCACCATTAGCATTATTCGTATAACTTCGTATAATGTATGCTATAGATTTCATTGGCTTGTACAGGAGCATTGGAGAAATCTCTATCTAACGCAAATTTATCATTTTTGAACTGCGCGAACACCATGGCGTGTACGGGATGTCAGGTGTGGTGTTAACATATGGTAGAACGTTTACCCACGGGGTAAAGGCGCTACAGTTCCTACTTATCAAAGGAAGTCTGTAAAGAATCGGCCTTTAGTCAGCATCTTCTCTAAGCGCTTGTCTACCGTGGAAGTTCTCATGTCTCTGTTTTTTACGACAACAAACCCTCTTCTGCAACCCATTCTATGGGAACGTCGTATTCACTTCGTATGTGTGTCGTCAATACAAGGCTCGCGAACTGGAGACATTTACTTTTGAGGTCTGATGCTCCTCGGCCTCTGCTGCAGAGAGGATTGGTAGCAGCCTTGACCAAGAATTCCCTATCATCGACACCTAGGGTAAGAACCCAGTCGCAGGACTGCATGAGTTTCCCTGGCGCAGTTCTTGAGAAATGTCCGTACCGCCCGGCTAATAATTTCCTTCATGAATTCGCTCGTTTACGAGTGGAGCTCTAGAAAATTTGGGAAAGCACGCTTAATTTGGCATATTTTCCGGTCAAGCACTAAACAACTGCTTCTTATTTTGGGCGTCTATCTTCTTCACGACGGAGCAATCGACTTCGTTATGATAAGGTCGTTTACTTTTTTGACTAGCGGGAATCCATGTTTAGGAGAAAGGACACTATGAAGATAGCCGAGAGATGCAAACAAGTAGTGGACATCGATGGTTTGATGTGAAATTAGGAGATCGAGCCAGAAAGTAGATAAAGTTCAGATCAAATTCGGTCAGAAGGGTTGCAGGACTCTCAACCGAATATATAAAATGTGTGAGGTTACATTCGACCACTGCCTGATTTCACCACTGGAGCCAGAAGACGGCCGACGAAACAAGCGCTTGTGGGTTATCAGAGAGGATGCTGCGGATCTAGCGTAGGACGCGTGCAATCTGTCTACTTCGACACACAGTTGAGTTGTAGCCGTACACACTCTCTCCCTACCTTCCGCTCCCCTGCTACGCTCACGTTCAACATAATTTTCTGATGTTCTGAAGTCGGCTGAAACGTCACCTTCGTCGGATTCGACATGATTGTTGCCGATCTGTCTACGCCCGATGTATGGGACTCCTTCGACTAGAAAGAGGCTTGCTGAAAAAGGCGCATACGGCAAAAGTTGAACAACAATGGGAAGAAAGTGAAGAGATGCTCTCACCAAGCAGTGCATAGCAGTAGTAAGCTCAAGGCCTCTGGGACCGTGTGCAGTTCTAACCGGCCTGTGGTTGGGTCTCCGAAACTGCGTATTTGCTCCGGTGATGATGCATCATACACGGTCAGGAATAGAGGCTCTGTTCAGAGATACCGAGTTCCATCCGCAGCCGAGCACTGCTACACCTGGTCCCTGATCTGCAATTTTCTTCAGAATCGAAAGAATTCAGGATGTTAAATTCTGGATGTCCTCTTACAAGAAAGAATCGAACCTCCATTGTCATCATTTTCGCTTGTTGCGACATGTGATGTCTAAGAACCAGTACGGCAAAAACCATGACGTCAT